ATCCTGATCTAGTTCCTGATTCCTCTCCTGTCACTAAGTTCCAATTAAAAACATTTTAAGGCATTTCCGTTTTTGTGCCCCAGAGTGCACTGTGTAACTAGAGCCTTTGAAATTTCCTGCTATGGGTGGATTTTTAGAAGAGGTGTTCAGTACACTCTGCCCTCGGGAAGCTAGCAGCAAGGTGACTGGAGCCAAGCACAGAGACACAAGACCTGCTGGGTTCTCATGGATTGCTTGCGGGTTTGAACTGGAGTAAATGGTGGAGTCTCTGTAACTTGAAGTCTTTAAATAAAAATGTGAGGACTTCAGTAACTCAGCCAGAGTTATGGGCCTATTACAGGAGTGGGTGGATGAGGTTCTGTGGCCAATGTGAAGGGAGGTCAGACTAGATGATCATGATGGTTTCTTCTGACCTTAAAGTCTTTGAGAAATAATAATAATAAACAACCATACTGGAATCAAATGAAAATTGTTCTTTTCTTTTAAATTCCTCCATGTCTTTTTTGTCTCTCTCAGCTCCTTCTGCTCATTTAATACTGGCCGCCTTTCTACTCTTTCGCACAGTCTTTCCCCATGGGTACAAGAGTCTTTCCTTCTGCAGCTTCTCCTGCTCTGAGCAGCCTTCTTGTATCTTTACCTTACCAAACCAGCTAGACAACCCTAGGCCTTCTTTGTGTGCCAGAGCACAAGGATCAAAGAATTTGACAGCCCCCTGTGCAGGTGCCCACTAAGGAGAGCCCTGTTTCCTCCTTATGTACCATAGAGGGGAAGTCACTGTCTAGCCCATAACCTATAAAACAGTAAAAACCCACTAGACTAAATGCAGTTATAACCCAAAACTATCCTTGAAAATGAGCACAGAGGCTTAGGGCCAGATTGTTTCAGTGTACTGGCCTGGGGAACTTTTGGGAGAAGACAGAGAGTCTGTATGGAAGAGATGAGCTGTAGTTTAACTGAAGCAAAAGCCAGTTTCTAGCTCAGATATTAAAATCTGAGCTAGATATTTTAAGGAATATCCTTCCTTTGGAGGAAGTATTTAAACAAAGAGCTGGGAGAAAGCTGACAGGTGCTGAGGAGTCCTCAAGTTGAACAGCCATCTGCTAGGAATGTTTGCCATACATAGGTATTACTCTGTATTAGAGCTGAACTGGAGGATGGATAGGTTGAGATCACAGAAGTAAATTCCATGCAAGTGAAAGTATATTAGATTAAGAAGTTAAATAAATGAAAACAGGCATACGACTCAACTATAATAGAAGTTCATAAACCAACATGAGAACTTCCAAAGCAATGACTGGTGACCTATAGGGAAACATTCTACATAATAGGAATAGAGGAATAACATAATAAATATTTCTGAAGCATGGTGGAATGATAAATCAATACTTTGATACCTGGCTATAGTAACTATACAGGAAGGATAGATTAAAACATGTACTACACTTAACAGATTCCGCAAAATCTAACAGAAAATAAACAATCTGTGTGGGAAAGCCCATATAGTAGATTTATACTGATACAAAATCCAGTGCATAAAAATGAAACTATAAAGCAGCATTTGACTACTAGCTTCCAGAACAGGAAAACAATAATATTGAGGGAGATCAAAGAGGCAATTAAGTCTAATAAACCAGTGATAATGAGTGACTTCATCTACCCACAAACAAAATGGTCAAATGTAACAGCAGGACAAGGTTCGTATTGCTTCTTGGACAGCTGGTTCTAAATCACACATGAAGAGATTGCCGGTATAGTAATGTTGGATAAGTGTGTGATTTTGTTCATGACATTTCTATACCAACAAAAGCTCTATTGTAGATGCAGTTATACTAGCATAAAAGTTCTTTGCCATATAGACCATTGTGCTCAGAGAACTGGCACACGCTATACCAGCAAGAGCGCTTTTTGCTACTATTGCATCTACACTAATATGTTTGACTGCAATAGCTACATAGGCAAACCTTTTCTAGTGTAGACTAGGCTTTGGGCGCCTACTCTTTTTAGTAATAAAGATGAGGCCTGTCTGTGATTGAGATGTTAAAAGATAAAGTGCCGATGAGACCTGATATATTAGAGAGCAACAAGTTACTAGGAGTGAGTGGTATATACTCAAAACTTCTTCAGGAGCTTAAGAATGAAGTGGCTTACAACTTCTGCTAACAAAAATATGTACTCATTAGAATCGGCTACAGAGGAGAGGAAGGGAACAAATGTCCACTATAAGATTTTTTATACCTTCCTTTTTGCACCTAGCATTTGGACCTGGCTAGCCAGAGATATGCAACTGGACTGGAGGGACCACTGGTCTGATCCACTATTGGAGTTCCCCTGTTATGCCTCCCTCTTGCACAAGTGCTCTAGCCAGGAAGGTCTCAAAGAACCATCTTTAGGTACATCTGCATGGGGATGAAAGCCCTGTGGTACATCTGTGGCTGGTCCAGGTTAGCTTACTCAGGCTCGCAGAGCTTAGGCTGCAGAGCTAAAAATTGCTATGTAGACATTGGGGTTTGGGCTGGAGCCCTAGCTCTGGGACCTTCCATCATTGCAGGGTCCCAGAGCCCGGTCTTCAGCCCAAGCCTTGAATGTCTACACCACAGTTAAACAGCCCCTTAGCCCGAGACCCATGAGCCCGAGTCAGCTGGCATGGGCCAGTTGTGGGTTTTTAATTGCAGTGTAGACATACCCTTTGTAGCCCCCTGTTGAGAGGCCTGGTGCCATTGCAATTCCTGGTTAAGACACTGCTCCCTGCTAGCACACCCTGGGGTACAAGTCGCTCTGGCTCACGAGTCATGTACAGGCAGAGGAAAGCCTGGGTCCCCTTCCACACTGTAGGGCACATTTAATCAGTTGGCTAATCTCCCAAGAGATGGTTCAGGGAGTATGCTCCACCTGCACTTCAGTGAACAACTAGAAGGCATTGTGCCTTCCTGAGCCATAAACATTCTGTAGCTTCCCTCTCTGTTGTCCTGTGCTGGGAGGTTCAATCAGGCCCTTACTGAGAATTTATACAATTGCAATGGAGAAATGGAATTTTCAATGGAGAGTCATATCTGTTGGCTCTCCATCTCTTAGTCCTGGTGGGACAGAAGCTGAGTCAGGTGTTAGAGAGATCATGTAATTATTGCATAGCTGATCCGGGCCCTGCGCAGTTCTTTCAGCTCCTAGGTGGGCTTTAGCTACCAAACCTATGACAGCTGTAATCATAGCTGATCTTTTAAGTGGAATAATATCAATATAGAATAGAAATTCACAGAGCTGACCTGATAATGGGGATGGAAATGTTGTACCTATGTTAAAAGCCTAGATAATCTAGGAATTGATATCAAGAGGACAGGCAGTTTGGATTGGAGTATAGACCAGAAGGGAATAAATAGAAATGAAAAGTCTGATGTGATTGTGAATCATTGTTTTAAGGAAAACGACAGAGCTTTCAGCTCTCTTCAAGCAGAACTCTCCTCAGTTATCAATACATTCAACATTCAAACAGTGTTGGCAGATAGTGGTAGAAAAAGTTAGTTCCTGTGTGTGGTAAACATATTAGTGTGCACGATTTGTGTTGACATAGAAAGTAGCATGTGGTATTATGGACATTGTGGATTTAATGCATATTGATGTAGGATAAACAAATACTTCAATGTTATGTGTAAGCATTGTAAAGTCCTGTAGACATTACAACACTGTGTAATTATGTAATCAGTCTGAAAATGAAAGGGAAACTTTTAATCATTTTTCAGTCTATAGGAGGTAAGAAAGCCAACAGCGTTACAAGATATAGTCATGGTTCTTGTCCATATGAAATACTAAAGCTGGAATGTAAAGCTGTCCTTCATTCTACTGGAAATTAAGGAAAAGGACTGATAGGGCATAATCACAACTAATCCGCTTCCTTCCTCCTCAGGTCATAATTTCGTGTTATTACCCAGGGCTTTGCTCAGTGAAGATGCATTCACATACACACTGTCAAGTTAAATACGTACTGGAAAAACTGATTTCTCAAGGAGAATAAAAGCATCGGCATCTTAAGGAGTGAAAGTAAAATTTCTCATGGGCGCAGATAGAAAGGTTCTTCCAAATGTCCAAGACAGTACAGAAAATGGAAGAGCGGTCCGGGGTAGGGGTAGGGAAAGTGTAAGAAGTATAAAAAATCCCAGGTAACAGAGCCCACCAGTGCTGTACCCTGGTAACTCTTTGATTTGTGCTTGTCGCCCTTACATGTACTTTACAGTCAGTGTAAACACCAATGATCCTGTGCAAGGATGCCAGCATCAGACTGAAAGTATGTGAGTAGTGAGTATTCAGAATACTCTTGACAACTATAATGAGGGCTGTTAACTCCAGCTGGACACCCCCTCAAAAGCCTTTTTAAAAGGAGTCAATATTAGAAAGGCAAATGCTGTGTCTATTTTTTTTTCCAGGCTACTCGCTACTTCAGCCTCTTCCCCCTATAGTTTTGTGAATCATATATACCCTATGACAGGAGAACATTTGCCTATGGGTGGTATTTTGTATGGTATAAGTTTCAGTCAGTTTAGGACATCTGAACAGATTGTGGTATGAGAAGTGTCACTGTTACAGTTAGCGCACCCCCTCCCCTCCTTTGATAGGCCTTGTGTAAACACACACAAAGATGTGGTCCCTGCCTGGAAGAGCTTGCAAACTAATTTATAATTTTAAAAAATCACCTATAAAGTTAACAACCCCCATTTCCCGTTTCTTGAAATACGAATAACTGTAAAAATGTGGGTTCTTCCATAAAGGAAACCACCTTGGCCTGTCCGTTATGTTTTTAATGTCATTCCTAAATGTGTGCCAGCCCGTGTGGTGACATCTTTTAAACAAACCTATACAACCATCTCTCTTATACTTAATTCTTCCAGAGCTTTCAGGCAAGTGAGGTTTATCTTACAGTTTCAGATATATGCAGCTGAATTTTATAATATATAGTTAGAATATACAGTGAGTCACTGCTTAAATGTCTGATGATTATGTGCTCTCTGCAGGAAAGATTTCAAGTGAAGAATCCTCCACATACATATATCCAGAAATTAAAGGGCTATCTCGATCCAGCAGTAACCAGGAAGGTAAGAAGTATTCTGTGTCCTTTAGTATGCTCTCACTTCTGCACTAATAGGCAGAATCATCCTTGATTTGAGTTCCTCCCTGTGTGTGAAAGGCCTTGTAAAAATCTTGAAGTCCATGTCTCTACTACAGCGGCACAGCTATGCCATTGTAGCTGTGCCGCTGTAGTGCAGACGCTTCCTACATTGATGGAAGGGGTTTTTTCATTGATGTAGGTAATCCACCTCACTAACAGGTGGTAGTTAGGTCCAAGGAAAAATTGACCTGGCTGTGTCTACAGTGTGGGTTAGGTCAACCTAACTGTGTTGTACAGGGCATGATATTTTTCATGGCCCTGAGTGACGTAGCTATGTCGGCCTAAGTTTTAGGTGTAGACCAACCTTACGAAAGTCTCCCAGATTCCAGTCCTAACAAAACAAACAGAATCAAAGAGAAATTGTTAGAGCATTGTAGTTTTCACAGTTCAGCAGGCAAAGAGCTAAATAGGTGTTGCAAATAAAAGAAACATTTGGCATAAGGAAAGATGGATTTAATGACTTGTGGGTGCAGCAAATAGCCCAGGTTATTAATGGATTACAGAGCCTTGTATCTCATGATTCCTACTTCAATTCCAGCCACTGCTGGTGGAAAATGAAAGCTGTTGCCATCTGATAGCTTTTTTCTCAGCTATGTGAAAGGAATGTTGTGTTCTCAGTGCAGTTCCTAGTGGCTGTTCGTCCACATAACAAAAACTATCACCTTTGGCACTAGTTGACCCTTTCTTGGCAATCTCATCAAAGAGGTCATGGGGTGAATGGGAATGGAGGGTGAACAGCAGACCTGAAATGAACTCGAGACCTAGATGGATATGTCTACGCTATTAACGCTACAGTGGCATAGCTGTAGTGCTGCAGTTATGCTGCTGTCGTGTGGACGCTTGCTACAGTGACAGAAGGGGTTTTTCTGTCATTTTACTTAATCCACCTCCTTGAATAGCTAGGTTGTCAGAAGAATTCTTCCATCAATCTAGTGGTATCTACACCTGGGCATAGGTCGACTTAACTGCATCTCTCAGGGATGTGAAGTTTTATGTGTAGACCAGCCCTGTGTTTGAGATGGACTACCAGTGTTTGCCTCAAACAGCCCACCAACGATCAGCACTTGATCCTCTTTTTTTAGAGAACTGATCCCACCTCCTTTACAGCTGGGTAGGGTAATGAACTGCCTGCCTCAGTATGTCAGCAGAGGTCTTGTATTCCTGCTAACAGGAGGAGTGTTTTAGGTGAACACTGTTACTTAGTCCTATTCTGGTCTTTCTGGGGTCAAGATGGAGGCACATTGGCAGCTCAGTTGCGGAAGTTTGCATAGCTGTTGTCCTGGCTATCCTGTGGATAAAAAGAGGAGTTTAGTCTCTGGGGTTTTGAAGATGGTAGAGAACATTCACAAGGGGCCTCATCCCAATTTACTTTCAAATATATTTCAGATCACTGGTATTTATTTACCTCAGCTGTTTGCTCATGTTCTGTGTTGTTGTTTTTAACAGCTTTTTTTCTTTTTTAAAAAAAAAGAAGGTAACCAGAACATTGCTCCTATCAATGACTGGTTCTCCTTCTTCCAGCTTAAACAATCACTGCTTTGTGTTGCGATACAATTAGCTTAATTGGTGTCTTGTGGTAAAATACATATCCTGCCACAATGCTCCAAGCCCAGGACCAACCACATACTGCAGTTGAGGTGGGCCTATGTTATTGAAGAAATACAATGGGGCATACACTAGGTATCATTTTCTTTCCTGTTGGCCTTCATTAGCTCATGTCTTCAAGGCTGCAATAAAAGTATATTCTAACACAATGCCTCTCTTGTTGTGGGAAGTGACAAGAAGGAAATGCCATTCTTAACTTTAAATTCGTCAACAGCTGATTATAGTAAAAAGAGAAAGGAAAAAAAAATAAACCAAACGGTAAACAGGGGCTTTGTTTTTTCCTGGAGGATTTTTCAGATTCATGTAGTGTTTGGTTTGCTCTGTGGTCAGTCCATGAGCACATTAAAACCGTTTTTGTCCTAGTGCAATTGTTAAGTTAAAAATAACTTAATCAAGTTTCTCTCTTTTGTTTTATTTTATCTAACTAGTCAGCCCAGACTGCAAAGGGGAAAGATTTACAATTGGGCTCCCTGGACTGATGGTTGGGGGACTATTCACATTACCATAATTATTGCTGTAATTAAGGTTGTGTCAGCATTTTCTATCCTGAACGCTTGTATGGTCAGGAGGAGGTAGTTCCAAACACTGCTGTATAATATTCATTTGGGGTTGTAGCTGGGTATGCAAAGTCTCCTCCTGGAAAAGTAGCTATTTTTCCATGTGAGCTGCATTTTCAAACACATAGGTTAGCCATGTTTAAATTATATATTGCTAAACAAATCACAGTCTGGTGGCTTCTTATAATCTTATAAATTACAGAAAACTTAATTTTCTCTGCTCCAAGTTGCAAACAGCAACCCAGTTGGAGGATAATGACCATGCAACAGGCAGTTGTGGAACATTCTTCCCACCTCTGTCTCTCCCCCCATCCCAGCTTTCCCATCGCCACTGCAACACTAGACTTTGTCTTCATTGCAAGCAGAAAAGAGATGTGCTTTTACATCACGACACAGCTATATCGAGGGAAGTGGAGTCCCTGCAATGACAGAAAATCCCCCTCCGTTTCTGTAAGAAGAATCTACACTACGGTGCTTTGGCGCATAGCCATGGCACCGTTGCTGTGCCACGGTAGTGCCATAGTGTAGACATGCCTCAGTCTGATCAGCAATCAGCATTCGTTGATATAGTAAGAAACATACAGGAACATTTCCTCTCTCATAAGAAAAATCCCCAAAGATATTAAAGGCGAAAAACCACATTCAGTGTAACACAGACCAGTGTTATACAATTCATGCTCTTCATTCACATCACTGGACCGTTCAAGATAAGGATAGCGTTGTCTTGAACTCTGAATTTCTTGGGTTCATGTATTCCTGCTCTTGCTGCCACTGGTGGAACTCCACCGATGGGAGATATTCAAAATAAAGCAAGATTATTAGAGTGTTCTGTACTGTATTGTAACCCAGTAGTTTACATATTTGCATTTGATCTGAGCCTCCTTCCAGCCTCTAATTTTGCACCTACAAATAATCACAGCACACAGATGATAGGACTGAGATATCTGGTTATTTGTTTGCACCTACAAATCAGGTAGTTAGATGTAAATGCCAATGACTCTTGTGTTGTGGAGACAAGATTGCAGGTGCAAAATTATTGGCCATTGCTGAAAATCAGGTTCCTATGCTGGAACTGTCTGTGAAATATTTGGTGCTAAAATAGAAATTGTATTGTAAAGAAATATATATACCTTTACAGAATTTTAATTCTCCTTTTCCCTTCCACACTTTCAAATGAGGAAACTACTAGTTGGAAGCAGGGGTTATTTTTCTGAGTGTCTTTTAGTTGCTAGTCTGATTAACAGTCTTTCATTTCTTAGGATTTGGAAATGTTCTCAATATACTTTAATATTTAACACGTTCTGTCTCCTATGGGATTTTGGCATTTTTGAATAGCATCATGTGAGTCCAAATATGTTTCTTAAGTATTTTCCCCCCAACTGAATTACAGAAATTCAGAAGACGAGTCCAAGAATCTACGCAAGTACTACGAGAACTGGAAATTTCTTTAAGAACAAATCATATTGGGTAAGACCTATTAATAATACCATGATTTGGGTCTTTATGTCTACTGACTGCTAGCTTTGGGAAAATATCTCCATGCTCTTTAAGGAATGAGATGTCCTAATGTATCGGTCACTAAAGATTAGAAGGCTGGGATTTGGACTGTGCAGTACATTAACATGTTAGCTGGTCATCCTCGAAGGCTCACTTTTAATCTGCTCAATGTGGGCCCAATCCAATTGCCTTTGAAGTCAGTGGGAAGACTGTCATTGATTTCTTTAAGAGCTGTATCAGGCCCTGGGGTAAATCAGAAGAGAAATGAGACTGATAGGGTCTGCAGTTTAGTCAGCCATTCCCCCCCTCCGCCCCCTGATTTATAGCTTCTGCTCAGGAAATCTCAGGTCTGGAATAGTAATATTTTGCAGAGGAGCAATGAAATGTTGCTTTTGAAACTTCCGCATGCCATGTTTGCATAATGCCTTATTGCTAGTTAATGCTATCCATGTTTTACATTCACAAGCACAAATCTTTCTTCAAATATTAATAGGAAAATTAATTTTGGAGAACTGGCTTTTTTAATTTCACGTGCCATTTCAAATGCTTATTCATATCAACTTTGCCAACCTATACTCAGAACCAGACTCAGAAACTGATGGAGTAGAAGCATTATTCAGCATTAGCATGTCAGACCAAAATAAGATTTCTTTAAAGTTTGTTAAATGGTTCCAGTATGTGTACACCTAAAATAGGCTCCCTAGGTAGATTTCTGCACTTGGCGATTATATCTTGATGAAACAAGGAAAGGAGTAGTTGTTATCAGATTGACTGATGCAAAAGAACAGCTGTTTTCTTAATCACACTGGGTTTCCTTCAACAGAAAACTCTGTCTGCCAGCTTCTTTGGCACAGAGGTCATAGAAAGTAACCGATTTTGACTCTGGATTTGATAAAGCTAGTGTCCCTAAAAGCTGGTTGCACTCCACAAATTATTTCTGTAAGTCCCTTTGCCTCATAACAGGGTCACAACTGCTTCATACTTATAAACAATGTATGTTACCAGAGAGATCAGGCAGACAGGGTAAAATAGACATTGAATTGTCTGTATGGGCAGAATTTCTGCACCTACAGCACTGTCAGGGAGTCCTTGGACTGCGAGCTAAGACTTGGACAGTGGGAAATCACTCAATATTTTAAAAATAAATTTTGAGGCGTTTGTTCACTAAAGATTACTTAGGCTGATGTGACAAAGAGCTGGTACTAATCTGTCTGAGGAACCTCTGTCCCGGGGTGATGGCAGTAGTCTCAGTAAACATTGTGAGCACAGTCTTTGTGATGTCTTTCCAATGGGCCTCTTTCCTTACATGGGCCTGGAATAGTTGTTGGCTTAGCTACATGAGAGCTGTATGTCTGTTCCATGGTATGTTGTGGTGTGCTGCTAAATCCCAGAGACTAAATATGGGAGCAAGCAACGGCCTCAGATTATCGTGGATTAAAATCAAGATTCCACTCTTTAAGAGCCAAAACTGCAGTTGGCAACCAGCTGTGATGAAATACAGTAGGGCAGTGCATGTCCGGGATTTCCACAAAATGTCAAAAGACTTTCTGAAACATTACAGAAATGAAGTGAAATTGACCATCAAATACTGAAGTGAGACCATCATTTCTAATACCATGTTGGCAGGATTGCCAAATTTCAGGATGAATCTGCCAGAGTAAGCCAATGCAATCTGTAAGCAATCGTAGCAGTTTGGCAGAGCTAAAGTACAAGCTACAAAATGTTGTGGACAATTTTTTTTCCATGGAATTTTCAGTGGAAGTGAAAGTCCAAGGCTGACTATGGCTAAAATGTGTGCAATTTTTTGATAACATCGGAGTGGTGATGTGTGGCTGTTGCCACACAGTGTAAAGTAAGTAACTTACCCAAGGCTGACTTTACCTGATAAATGGGTTCTTTAGAAGAAAATCCTTCTAAAGGTGATAGTTTCCCATCTCCCCTGTACAAGATTGTAAGCTTCTTTGGGAAGGGGTCTTTTTGGAGTCACTAGGTTTTGAGCATATTATGGGTGCTACTGGAAATTAATATATAATAATCCTATGTGCTTCTCTGGCAGACTGTAAGAGACAAGGAGTATCATAATGCAAAGCCTATGTTTTTTGTGGAAATTCTTGACATGTTCCTTCTTACAAGATTTGAAAATGTGAAGGAGTTGTTTCCATGTGATTGTCCATAGAATCGAATCCAGACATCAGCACTGCTGGGAACTACAGCCTTTTGGTGTTTTGGTAGAAGTCTAAAGCCCTGCCTCTGTGGTGGAAGAAGTGTAGCAAGTCTTATTTTCTGTCTGGATAAAATAGTTGGTTTGTTTTTGCATAGTTTTTTATGGTTAATTGTAAGCAATTTGGGATGGGAGTTGAGAGAAGTGTCCTTTCCGTTGTAATGCCTAGCAGTGGGGGCTTGGCATGGCACCTCTCTCAGTTTAATGGAGTGCTCTCAGTTTTCATCAGGGCTGTTCTGAATCCCTTAAGCAGGGCCTACAGAACACTGACACTGTCCCAAAGTCTCTTGGGATATTGCACATATATCACATCATCACTACAAGACAACTTTATCTTGGAGGATGAAGTTGAATAAGTGGCATCATTAAGGAAAGTCTGTTTTACAGAATGGCCCTTTAATTTTTCTGAGGTAAACTCAGATCAACCCGGGGGAAGAGAACAATTATAAAAGCCGCTTTTGCTTTTTTGACTCTTAATGCTAGTGTTGGCTGGCCATGGCCTCACTATTGGCTGAATGATGACACTTCTTTTGGAAGATAATAGTTTCTGACCATAGCTATGCTAAGAGCTTCTTAAGGTATAGAACATGGGTGCTGAGAGGGGTCCCAAGGGCTGAGAGTTGCTTTAAAAGGTAATACAAATCTGTGGGAAATGCAGCCGTATCCGCTGACAACTTTGGGATTGGGAGCTGCTAAATAGCTGCAGAGAAAATGAAATCACTGTGGGTTGCATGTAGAGGTGAAAGAGAAAACTCTTTATGCTAATAGAAGTAATGTACTGCAGAAAATTAAGTGTCCCCAGTGGAGCTGCTCCATATTTACATGGGTGTAACTAAGAACAGAATCTGCTCCAACATCTTAGTACTTGAATGAATATATAGATGCCAATACAGTGTGAACTGCTTGTTTTATAATAGTTTTCCATCTTAGATACATATATAGCACCATTTTGAAAAACTTGAACACTCTTGATATGTGGCAAACATCTAAGCGCACTCCATCTCCTGAGTCCTTGCTGTGTTTCCTGCTTTATTTCTCCCCTTTTCCAGAATAAATAATTTCCCACTAGAGTCCAAAAGCATCCAGGCTGTGTCATTCTCAAATACAAATTTATGACATATCACAGATTTCCAAAAGGAACCATTATGGCATATTTTGTAAATAATACATGTAGTCTTACAAAATCAGTACAATTTCCAAAATGCATGTTTTCCTTCAGTCAACTGGATGAAAGATATGTGTGGCAAAATGTATATCATATACTACTCCTGGGGGAATTCTGTGCCACTGCGCAATTCAGAACATGCGCGAAGAATTTCCTTTCCCCCACAGATATGGGCTGCAGTGCTGCTAGCCACCACTAGAGGCCGCTGGCCCTGCAGAGCCTAGCTCACACATAGAAGACACTGCTGGGGGGAGGGAGCTAAAGGGATCCTGGCCACTGCAGTTCCCAGCATGCCCTGAGGGAAGGAGAAGGTGGCGCACAGGAATCTCCGTGCAAGCTTGGGACGGAGCATCAGGCTGTTTCTCCCTCTGGATCCCTGGGCTCTGGGGGGAGTGGGTGGGTGTCTGGGCTAGGGGAGGCACCCATGGCTGGCTGGGGGTGGGGGGTTGTGGGCATCTGGACTGGGGGGGGGGCTGTGGCTGGGCTCTGGGCCAGAGGGCCCCACAGCTGGGCTTGGGGGGTTTGCAGGTATCTAGACTGGGGGGGGGCCCAGGGCTTGGCTCTGGAGGAGGTTGTGGGTGTTTGCCCCCCCCCGGCTGGGCTCTGGGCAAGAGAAACAGGAACTGGGTTGTCAGAGGGATTTCTTTAACTCTCTACTCCTCAGGGATTTTTTGTGTGTCTGTATTGTTATAGACATACTTGCTGACAGGTATTTTGAAATAAATTACCAAAATAATTGAAACTGGCGTGATTAAATAGTGTTATTTTGACACATAAAATGTGCAGAATTTTAAAATATTGTGCGCTGAATTTTTAATTTTTTGGTGCAGAATGCCCCCAGGAGTAATATACATACCAGGATGTTTATTCTACAACGTAAACAGTATGCTCTAAAACATAAGGCCTAAAGAATAACTCAAGGCTAGATTGTAAATTTACAATCTGCCCTGAGTGAAGAGTAACACACAAATGCACTGCCCCAAGAGCAGACCAGGGAGGGAATTGTAACTCTGTGTCATAATTCACTCTCTAGCTCTCAATTTATTCCAGGGGTAAATAATCTGCTACTGATAAATACTTTGCCATGCTGGTTGGTGTATTGAGGAGGTAATGTGGGATGAAGCCAAATCTCCACTCATTGTCCACCCCTTGGGTTTGCTCAAAACTGGGTCCAGATTCTCATACCTTGGCAAACTAGCCCTGAATTTTTCACTTTTCCAATAATAACCAGTTAGATTTTGCAGGATTTCAAATTTTCTTGTAAATATTTTGCACAGCTCTGCTTTAGGGGCTTGAATTTACTTTAACAGATTAAAGCTTTATTTTAAAAATGTGATCATATTAATATGAGAAGGAAAACTTATTTTTAAAGAGGTATGAAGTACATCATTGATGTTATTATTCCTTAGCTTTTTTGTTGCCTTCTTGAAAGATCACTAAATGGAAAAAATGAAGCCAATTCATATGACTGTAGCATTTCAAGAAGCCCATAAATGCTGCTCTAGTGTTGGCTGGTTCTGTGGTTTGTGCAGCTTGCTGTGCTAGAAAGGAGATAAATGTGGGTTTGGAAGGAAGCTTTAGCTTCATTGGTAGTGTCGTCATGGTACGTGTCTACTAACTACTCCAAATTATACTGGACCTTTCAACAGGAACTTAATTGTTATGGGGAAATGGGCAGCACTTACCAGAACCAGGTTTCTTTATTAAAAAGAAAAAGAATAGCAATAGATCTGGGTAGGTTTTCCTGAGCAGTGAAAAGGGTGCGTGGTATAGATATTAATGGTAGAAAATGTTTTCTTATATGTCATGCTGCGGAGGTGTTTGTTTCCACACATAAAAGTATATTTTTGAACCCTTGCTTCCTGAGTGAGAAATGAAAAGCTTTTGCTCAATATATTTCTTTTCACACAATGGATGTTTTTGTAGATTGACTGAAACAAGAATTTCGTCAGACTTGCCTCTGCACTGAACAATCAAATGCACTGATCTCTAATGATTTTTCTAACAGATGGGTCAGGGAGTTTTTGAATGAAGAAAACAAAGGCCTGGATGTTCTGGTGGAATATTTGTCATTTGCACAGTACGCAGTCACGTAAGTAAAACATGGCTTTTGTTCACCAGGGTTCGCAAAACAAAACAACATAGTGCAATATAGATAGACTGGCAGAGAGAGTAATATCTAGTCAGATGCTGTGCTATTCCTGTAAAGTTGTTTCCATTGCAATAGCTTGGCACAAAATTATGTAGGTTCCTGAGAACCAGAGCAAATGGCAAAATTAGATCCCAAATGTTAGATCAGAGTATATTGCAAAGAGAAGGAAAACAAAAAAAATTTGCTTATATATTTATGCAGTCCGAGCCAGAGGAGGATTAGGGGTTTGTGTGGCCATGAGCCAGAGCAAGTAGGGGCCCCTCCCCACCCCACTCCGCCTGCAATCCCTCCTGCCTCCCCTCCCCTCCCCGGGTCGAGGGGTCCTCCCCTGCTTCCTGGCAGGAGTGCTGGGTTGGCAGAGCAGGGCAATACCCCCATACTCCAACCCTACTTCCCAGCAGGAGTGCCAGGTGGGTGGAGCAGGGCGGGATGCAGATGTGCCCATTGTTCTGGGGGGCCCCCAATTGGTGGTGGCCCTGGGCACAGGCCCCGTTGGCCCAGTGTCTAATCCACCACTGATCAGATCATTTTTTTTAAAGATTAGTCACATCTGTTTTAGCTTGATCTCCTCTGAGTGGGACAAAATACAATAAAGAATGAATAAATTTAGCATTACATCCAGATATTGGCCTAAGAAAAATGGCCAATTTTTTGCCTTCCTTTCCAAAAGCTTCTTTTAGATCCCACTGTTTGTGTTCCTTCCCTCAAATATCATAAAATCATGTAGTGGACATTATATTCTTAAATATTAATCAATAACTTTATATAGGCAAGGTTGAACTAAGTACATCCAGACAATTTTTTCAGCCATGTTATATTATGATAAACTAATTCCTACGAAGTTCAAAGCAAAATACCGTATATACTTGTTCATAAACCGACTTTTTTTTAGTAAAAAAGGGAAGCACCAGAGAAGGGTGTCGGCTTATGAACCAGTATAGAGAGGAAGAGATGGGACACAGCCCCTCCCCCTAACAGAGGGAGCAAGGAGAGGCAGCACAGCCAGCAGAAGGGAAGAGGCAGGGCCAGAGTCTCTTCGCTTCTGGCCACACTGCTCTCCTCTCAGCCTCCGAAGCAGCTGCAGCTCCAGGGCTGGCAGGCTGCAGCCGTGCAGCTTGGCCCCATCCCCAGTGCAGGCTGTGGCCGTGCCGTCTGGCCCAGCCCGCTGGAACATGCTGCAGCCGCGCTGCTTGGTCTGGCTTGCCGGAGCAGCTCCAGCCAGGCCAGAGAAATCCTCCCCTGGCCCTCTCCAGATGGGAAGGGATGGGATGGGATGGGATGGGGAGAGTGTGGGGGTCCCAGGCTAGGAGTAGGGTCATGTGGGGGGTGGTCACAAGGGTTGCTCCCCTGACTCCCAGCTTCTCCCCCCAAAAAATGTCCCACCAGTTGTTGTCCCGGCCCGTCAGGGTAAGCAGCTGGCGCCAGGACACTTTGTTTACTTAGGTTTACCTCTGTGCCTGCGGACGCTCGAGGTAAACAAACCATCTCGGCCCCCCAGCGGCTTATCCTGATGGGCTGGGAGCCAAAGTTTGCTGACCCCTGAATTATAGGGTCGGCTTATGAACGGGTTATAAAAATTTTCCATTTTTACTTATCTGTCTTGGGGGCGGGGGAGGTCGGTTTATAAACGAACCAGCTTATGATCGAGTATATACGGTACTCACATAAACTAATTCTCACAATACTCTTGTAAAGCTGGGTAGGTATAATCAGATCACTTTTATGGATAGGTAGATTTCAAGAAAGAGAATATCTATTAAAAGACCACTCAGGAAGTCAATGGCAAAACTAGGAATAAAAAAGGAGTCCTGGTTCCCGGTTGTCTGACCTTACCACTAGACAACACTTCCAAATATATTGTTATTTATTCTGTATTAAAACAATGCAAAGTTGGAAAAAATTATTATGGGCCAATGTAAATCATTGTATCCTCATTGACTGAAATGGAGGTAATTTAAACAACTGAGGATATGTTCTCACATACTCACAGGGTTTAACTTCATTATATTTAGGCTTGGAAGGATTAGATTTTTGACGGTAAGTGTTGGTAAGTGTCGATTTCGTCGTATGCACACAAACCAACATCAAAAAAATCCATCAGTAAGAATCTGAATTTACAAATAGGCAAAGTGATAAAATTGCTGCTTGAGAACTTATTAGAGTTTGATTTAAGGATATTTACTTTGTGTATATTGTCACGGGATGTTGTGAATTTGTGCATTAACAGTTATAAAGCTTTATGTTTTTGAATATCAATGTCCAGTGTCATAAAATAATTATTGTCTGACCCCCCCCTTCTATTTTCCTGCAACTGTGAAAATTTAAATAGATAAAATATTGTTTTAAAATGCTTAAAACTCATAATTTTGTGCAAATAGGAAAATTTAAATCAATAAAAATAGAAAAAAATCCTTAGAATTGATCTCTGTCAAAATGGTAAAAAAATAAAAATTGAAATATGCCAACCCTAATTACATTGTACATATAACTTCTTATATGAAATGAATGTGTTAAGAAAAGATAGAGCTGCATACTCTATTGTACATGCAAACTCTAGCTAAGTGGAGCCAAAGTTTTATTTTTAGATTGAATACATGTGTATATATATTACCATTGAAAAGAAATGAGACTTTTGGTGGAATTATAATAAAATTAATTGAGGAAAATTATATATTTTAAAATATTACTAACACTGGAAAAACTGCACACAGCTTGTTTTAAAGATTTTGTTCCTAAAATTGTATAAGTGGAAGCAAGTTAACGTGCCAGAGTTTTTTTTCCCCCTCTAACATGGTAAACGTAAGTAATAACCTCAAAAAATGTAAGAGGAACAACCAACTCTTGCTTTAAATGGCAACAAAATGGGTAAGGAGTAAAAAATCAAGAAAATCTATAATGATTTTGGTAATGTATTACATATGGTTCAAGATTAGCCTTGGCCAACAAGCCAGTATAAATGCTCAGTCACATATTGATTGATGAAATTAAATTAATAGCCACACCATGTATTGGTTTATTAAAATAAAATTAAGACAGCTTTGAGCTTCCCCCTCCATTCTCCACGGCTGTTAGTCATCAGCAAATCAGTCAATGTTGTATTTTTTTACACTGAAATAAGATTAATTCATGGCTGTTTGATTCTTCTTAAATTATATCCCTGTGTTGCTCATTTCTCCTTTTGTCAAGTTCCAGATTTGCTGCAAAATGTACTTGAATCTAGCACTGTGTTCCAGCTGAAGGGAAATTGTTTTGCGTTGTTTTTTATTTTTTCTTGTAATCTGTTGGGACCTAGTAAATCTGCAGATGTTTAACAGGAAGGAAAAAAAGCTATGTACATCTTTTTTTGTGTAAGCCTACATTGGAATTTCTATTTCCTTTCAGTTTTGACTTTGAAAGCTTGGAGAACAATGTGGAAAACTCAATGGATAAATCCAAACCTTGGAGCCGTTCCATTGAAGACCTGCATAGAGGAAGTAACTTACCCTCGCCAGTTGGCAATAGCATTTCCCGCTCTGGCAGGCATTCTACTCTACGGTAAGGCCATTTAATCAGGGAGTAGGAACTACCTTAGAAATGTGGTTGCCTGAGTGAGGAGTATCGTGTTGGTTTTAAAGTTATAATAATAATAATAATTTGCATTTGTATAACACCTTTCATCCCTAAGACCTGTACAGATTCGACATACGTAGGAAACAAAACGCTTTGCACTGAAATGCAACCAACTTTCAGGTGGAATGAAGCAGTAACTTAACAGCACACAGCAGCTCTACGCAACAGTTGAGGGGATTAAGAGAGGAATATATCGTCCATTTTCAATGGCAGAGTAATTGAAGCAATTGAATAATGTAATTATTCAAATTAGAATGTAGCTAGCACACTGGGTGCAATCTCTTCTCTTGCAGACAGTGCCAAGGGGTCTTTAATGACCACAAGTGGCCAGGCCTTCATATCTAACATCTCATCCAAAATGCAGTATCTCCAACAGCACATTGCCCCCTGAACATCATGCAGGAGCACTGTATCAAAGGGAAGACCATTTCCCTGTTGCAATATCACCATCACCTCTGGCAGCACTCTGAATTTTGCTTTGAGGTCTCCCATTCAGGAATTGAACACATATTCACCCTATTTAGTTTGTGATATCTGACAGGATAACTGCTGAAGAAAGCATAGATGGTGACTATTTTATATATGTTCGTGCTACATGGATACTTTTTAATGTTACGCAACATAATGAACAGCAACTTTAGGGTACCAATATATAGTCAGTTGTGTCAGCAATTCAATATGACAGACGGAATTTAATGGTCTGTGGTTTTCAGTTGTTTGGCCCCTTTAGGATATTTCTGGTTAATATCAGCTATTGAGAAGATAAAGAAACTTGGAACCACCAAGTATTTAGTAATTTTTTCTAGATCTTCCACTTGAAGTTCACATTTGACTTGCCAAGTACTGCTAGGTTGGGCTTTCTTAGTCCCAGATCAGGGGATAAATGGATGCACTTCAAGCTACAGCAGCAGTTGGAATGGATCTGAAGTCTAGAAGATGTAATTCAAGGATTTCAGAAGGCTAAAAGGAGAAAAGTAGAGACTTGGATCTGGACACAACCCTTGCTGAGAATACACAGAATTGTAAAATGAAGTGAAATCAAGTTGGCCCAGGGGACAGGGTTTTCCTGAAAATGTAGCACAGGAGAAATCTTTTTTATTCCCATTGATGCACCGAATTATTAGAGTGGGTAATTTTAATCTCCTCTAAAAGGTACTGTCACTGTGCCTGGTACCCCTGAGAAGGCCAATATGACACACCCCCTTATGCTACTTGTGGACTGCAAAAGGATTTTAGTATAGGCATTTAATTCAGAGTCTGGTATTTATCATTCAAGAATGTTATTTTAGGTGGATTCTAGTCCTGTTCTTTGTCACTGGGAGGTGTGTGTGACGAGTATACCAGGAATGCATAATTCAGGTGTGCATTACATGTTGCTTACATTTTTTCTCTTCCTTTCCTCTCGTTTCCTTCCATCCTTCTTTCCTCTTTCACATATCCCCTCTTTCCTCCTCCTCCTCTTCTTTTCCATATCACCTCCTCCTCCTGTGCATCCTTCCTTTCTCCTCTTCTCCCTTTTCCAAACCTCCTCCTCCTATCCTTCATTCCTTACCTTTTCCTCATCCACTCTCATCCGTCTTTCAAAATGCCATCAGATCGGTTTCTCTGCCTGAACAACTTCAATTCAAACGCCGCCAGAGCTGCTTTTCACCCAACTGTCTCTGGAGCGGCTTCAGTTTACACTCTGCTGGTGAGGCTTCAAGCCGGAAAATCTCGTAAGTCACAGGTGTCAGGTTACACCCAGGAGAGCTGCGTAGTACATGGTAGCAGGGTATTTAACTGCTGCTCATGTTTTATAATATGATAACCACATGTCTTAGGTGAGGTACTATGCCAAAAGTGGGGGTTCCCAGCTTCCGAAATGTGCAGTTATCACATTATAATTCATATTTCAAAGTGTAGTTTGGTTCTGTTGGGTTGTAAAAAGAAAAAATTAATTTGAAAGTTGTATTTTGAAACAAACAGTTGTTTTCATGTGAATAGTTTTATAAGATTTATTCATACACCGCAAAGCCATAGTTGTTGTTCAGAGTATTGCATAATTTAGTATTATTAATAGTAATAGTAAGAACAACAGTGGCTCAAACTCTGACTTATTTGTACTTGGACCTAAGGAGAGTTTTATCTGATTGAGGACTTCAGGATTTGTCCACGTAATGATACGTAATAGAAGCTTATTTCAGTTGCATCTGAAAACACTGTAGGACTATAACCACGTAGGATCCCAAAGCCCCTCTCCAGTTGCTGTATTCCGGGCGCTTCATCCTAAACGATGCACCTGTTTTTTTTTGTTTTGTTTTTTTTACAGGAAAGCTGCATTTTAGGGAAATAAACTAACTTTCAAAGCCTTTTTAATTAGAAAAAAGGGTGTTTTTTTTCTGAAACAGACTTTTTGCTGTGCAAATCAGCAGCACCTGACTTATGTCAATTTCTTTACAATCATTTTTATTATTATCTCTGTAAGATGGCAGGCATCTTGGATTACACCTGTTCCAAGGGCTTGAATTATTCCTAACCATGTTTAACTTGTGTAGGTCTTCAAAGCTTAGCTGAAGCTATTAGGGTATGTCTACACTGTGGTAAAAAACCTGCGGCACTGAGTCTCAGGGCCTGGGTCAGCTGACTCAGACTCTCAGAGCTTAGGCTGCGAGGCTGTAAAATTTCAGTGTAGGCATTTGGATTTGGGCTGGAGCCCCTGACTGTGAGACCCTTCCCGCTCACAGGGTTTCAGAGTCTGAACTGCAGCCCGAGCCTTGTGAGCCCAAGTCAGCTGACCTGGGCCAGCTGCAGCCATGCCGCAGGTCTTTTATTGCAGTGTGGACATTCCCATAGGGTCCTGGATTGTCGTTATGTTTAGTTAAAATACAATGAATCTGAACTAAAAACCAAACAATGTTGTGAAGTAGGTGTAGGACCAAATTCTGCCCTCCACTGGTATAGGCCAAATTTATCCCTGTTGTAAATCCCTCCTAGTTGATAACATTGTCTTTGTCTTTCTTTCCATTTGTTTGTCCCTGTCTTATGCATGGTCAAGATTATCCATCACTTTTCAAGTTGTTACTTTAATTGACTTTCTGCAGCTCTTAGTTATGAGACTGGAATTAGGCAGAATTTGACTGTTTCCATAGCAACTAGTATATTTTAAAGAGGAAAGAACGTAGCAAGACTGGGGACAGAAAACACAAAAATGGGGGCAGAATAAGAAATGTATGTGGCTTAACTGAAATATCTGATAGAGAGTGGTGCTTTAGGGATTTTATTGTCACTTAACTGGGATGACAGCATTACTCCCACTTGAGAGTCATGCTCTCATTTCAAATTTAAGCCAATACAGATTCTTGAGCACCCCTCTCCATTATGTATTGTGTGTATGCTGAATAGGCCAAATACTGAGGTCTTTACTTGGGTTGTACTCAGACAAACTCAATTTCTATCATAGGAATCTATGGAAACTTTCCTGAGTTAAAAAGAAGTAAGAACGTCAGGAGTTGACTGTATCCTGAATATATTTTATTTTTGTATGTATGCATATGTATATAATTTGGAGGTGATAAGGTTCCCTCAGAATCAGTTTTCATTCAAATTTGCACTTAGAACAGGACTAAAATCCCTGTATCTCATGTTCTGATGATTGAATTTAGTCTCCAAATTTAACCCAATCACTATTCATGGGCCTGTACATATGCAACTTTGAAACAACTGGAAGAGTTCTTTTCCTTGTTTAAAAATGGTACATGGGGGGAAAAAAGTTGTTCTTGGATCAAGAATAACATACATTCTATTCCACCTGGAGCAAATGTTTATAGCCCAGCTAGAGTGGAGATGCTGATAGGCCTCAGTTATTTCAATGTTTGTGGGTGCTGCCATTTTAAAATATTTTCTAAGCCTCCCCTTTTTGGGAGTATCCTTCCCTGCCTTTTGTAGAGTGCAAGCTCATTATCTATCAGTCAAGGGGATCTAGTTATGGAACCAGAGGGAATCAGGTGAATCCAGAGTCTTACCAACATCAGAATGACACAACGTTGACACCCCCTTCTATCCCTAAATTCCTACTCCCCCCCCCAAAAAAAAACCTCTACCCCAAGCAGAGTTTTGACCCCAGAAATAGAGACGTGCCAGTGACTCCATGAAGTCCACTAGGGACTTGCTTTATTATTATTGATTTTACGTGAAGACCCTCATGGTCACGGGTGGCAGTATAACCCTAATCTAGGTAGGTGGAACTGGGAAAGCTGAATAACAATACAGTGCAATAGGCCTCATTCACCAAGGCACTTAAGCACATGCCTAATTTTAAGCACATAAGTAGTCCCACTGAAGTCAATGTGTTAGGCATGTCTTTAAATACTTTGCTGAACTGGGGCCTTCATTCACTTTATATACATGAGTTTGTTGCACAGGTGTTTTATAGTTGTCCATGAAGAGTCTGTAGAAGCTGCATGAATGGCTTGTAAATGTTAGACTTGCTTACCAGTTTGACTGCTTAGGGTTCAATCCTGCAAAGTGCTGAGCAATAAGCTCCCTTAGCAGTGTTACTGGAGAAGCATGGGCCTGGAGACTGAACTAGTCTCTCAACCACTAAGGTCTCCAGGCTGTCTAGATGACAGATGTGGGGATCTGTGCTGTACCTCATCTATGGCAAATAGAGCTCTCCAGTCTCTGAAGGTGTCAGCTCAGCACCTTTCACAAGAACTAAACTCATTAACACATTCTTAGTAAATTCAATAAAAGTAAAGAAATGATTGCACTAGTACTGAAGTGGTCTGTTATTAAATCTAGATGAGGACTAGATGAGACTGGGGAACCTTGGCTATAATGTATAATCAGCAACAATTTCCTTTCCCTCAAACCGGCTTTTTCCATATGGATGCAGTGTAACAAATTTGGAAATATTGGGTCAGACATTCAAACAGCAGACATCAGCA